GTCTACAATCAGGCAAAAGTTGACTCCCTGGTGGCAGGCAGGGCTTCACTCCCCACCTGCTCTGCTTCTCCTTCAGGCATCTCCCCTCGGAGGACCTGCCTCTACCCTTCCCTAGGACTCAGCAATTCTGGCCCCAGGCTTGTGGCAGATCCTCCAGAGCAGCTTCCCTGGCCAGGAGAATGCCACTGGGTGTAGGGAGGTCTGGTGTAGCTAACCCCATGGAAGAGGCAGCTGTCAAGAACCACATGAAACCCTTACTTCCTCTGTACAGTGCAGGTTCGCAACCACAAGCACCAAAGCAGAGGGGCAGGCAGCACGCGCTAGGCAGCCGGAGCACCAACCCAGCCATGCTCCCTGAGGTAAGTGCTGCTGCCCAGCCAGGCCAGACCACTCTCTTGAGTGGAAAGCCCAGGACACTAGGGGATCGGCAGGGCTGGCCCATGAGCCAGACCACCAGAGGGTTGGGTGAGTAGGTAGAGAATGCAGGGGTTATGTAGAAGGGTCACTGGACAGGGAATTGAGAACCCACCTTGGCCATTGATTAGTGTGAATGACCACCAGCAAGTCACTTCCCCTCTCTGGCTAGTGCCTCATCTGCAAAATGCAGGAGGTGGGGGCTCACCCCCGAGAGCTTGCAAGGCTCCCTTCAGCTCTGACTTGGGACTTTGGCTCTTCTGTGCTGGACTGAATTGGCACTGGGGAGGCCTGCAGCTCTGTAGTGTTTCATAGGAGAAGGCTGGAAGAAGTATTTCTGCTAAAGCTTGGTGGAGGAGCCCCCAGTGGGTGGCAGTCCTTGGTGTTAAGGAGGAAAAGAATGGCAGAAAGCATGCATAGAGGACACGGTGATTTGTAGAGTGGTCCCATGGGGAGTAGGAAGTTGGGGTCCCCAGACAAGGGCTGAGGAGTGAAAAGAAGGGATAGGGGATGGTGAGGTGGTGCCTGGGGAGGAAGGTGGTAGAATTACATGTGGCCAGGACACTGAGAACAGCAAGCCTTGAAGGACAAGAAAGGAGAGAGGGGAGAGGGGCAGGGAGGGCTCTTGGCACAGGGGAAATTTCCTCCAGACCATAATCCCTGGGCTGAAGGGATGGCCCTGAAGGGTGAGTGAGAATCAGCCTTTGAGAAAGAAAATTACATATCAGCACCAAGGCTGGGCAGGTGCAGTTTAGGAGGTGTGGCCTTGGAAGAAAGGTGGGGACAATTACAGGGTGTGGCCCAGGCCTCAAGGCCAGCCTCAAGGCCTGCCTTACCGCTCCCAGAAAGGCTCCTCAGACTACATCTCTGAAGGAGTTTGTTTACAGGGTCTGTTCCTTCCTCTCCTCCCTCCCTCCACAGATCAGTGAACGCCTAGAGCTTCTAGGCTCTGACCCTGCCTATCTCCTGGAAAACTATAGCTCTTCCTTTGACTATGGAGGAGAAAACGAGAGCGATTTCTGCTGTGATTCCCCACCCTGCCCACAAGACGTCAGCCTGAACTTTGACCAGGCCTTCCTGCCAGCCCTCTATGGCCTCCTCTTTGTGCTGGGGCTGCTGGGCAATGGCGCTGTGGTGGCAGTGCTGCTGAGCCAACGAGCAGCCCTGAGTAGCACTGACACCTTCCTGCTTCACCTGGCTGTGGCTGATGCCCTGCTGGTGCTAACCCTCCCCCTCTGGGCAGTGGACGCTGCGATCCAGTGGGTTTTCGGCTCTGGGCTCTGCAAAGTGGCAGGTGCCCTCTTCAACATCAATTTCTATGCAGGGGCCCTCCTGCTGGCCTGTATCAGCTTTGATCGGTACCTGAGCATAGTGCATGCCACTCAGCTCTACCGCCGGGGGCCCCCGGCTCGTGTGACTCTCACTTGTGTAGCTGTCTGGGGGCAATGTCTATTCTTTGCCCTCCCTGACTTCATTTTCCTGTCAGCCCACCGTGACGCACGCCTCAATGCCACCCACTGCCAGTACAACTTCCCACAGGTGGGCCGCACAGCACTGCGCCTACTGCAGCTGGTGGCTGGCTTCCTGCTGCCCCTGATGGTCATGGCCTACTGCTATGCCCGCATCCTAGCTGTGCTGCTGGTCTCCAGGGGCCAGCGGCGACTGCGAGCCATGCGGCTGGTGGTAGTGGTAGTAGTGGCCTTTGCCCTCTGCTGGACCCCCTACCACCTGGTGGTGATGGTGGACATCCTCATGGACATGGGGGCTTTGGCCCGCAACTGCGACCGAGAAAGCCATGTGGACGTGGCCAAGTCTGTCACCTCAGGCCTGGGCTATATGCACTGCTGCCTCAACCCGCTGCTCTATGCCTTCGTGGGTGTCAAGTTCCGAGAGCGGATGTGGACGCTACTTCTGCGCCTGGGCTGCCCTGGCCAGAGTGGGCACCAGCGGCAGCTGCCATCTTCCCGCCGGGATTCATCCTGGTCTGAGACCACAGAGGCCTCCTATTCGGGCTTATGAGGCTGGGCTGAAGGTTACCCTTTTGCCACGCAGCCTGACTCCCCCCTCATTCCAGGTTCCTTTCTCCCTCCCTCTCCCCTGGTCTTGGCTCCCCAGATGCACACTCCTGGGATTTCCTGGGAGCCCTCCTCCTGGCTCTTGGGACTTCGCCACTGCTCTCCTTAGTTACAAAGCCCTATCCTGCTGATTCAGAGTTGGCTGCTTTCAGGCCCTTCTTTCTTTGGCTGCATGGAACCCCACCACCCTCTTAATTCAGTAACTAGACTTTGGCCTTCGCCATGTGCAAAGAGCATGAAGCAAGCAAGCATGGTGGAAACTGTCTCTGTGGGGTCTTAGCCCAGGCCTCCAGCGCAGCAGTGACTGGCTATGGTCCCCAACACCTCTCTATTTGCTCATTTTTATGTCTAAAATTCTGCTTAAAACTTTTCAATAAACAAGATAATGAGGACCAAGGTGTGCTAGTAGTGCCTTATTCCAGCTTGTCCTGCCCAGGCTCTGGGATGTGCTTCCTGCTTCTCCTTGCCTGTCCCTGGGACTGGGCCAACCAATGCTGCCTGTTCATATTTATGTCTGGCCTCCTCTCTGTCCTCCTGGGCACTCCTGTCACTTGCAGGGAAGCGCCTAGGTCAGGGGTGGGCAAACTTTTTGACTCGAGGGCCACAATGGGTTCTTAAACTGGACCGGAGGGCCGGAACAAAAGCATGGATGGAGTGTTTGTGTGAACTAATATAAATTCAAAGTAAACATCATTACATAAAAGGGTACGGTCTTTTTTTTCAATAGTTTTATTCATTTCAAACGGGCCGTAGTTTGCCCACGGCTGGCCTAGGTACATGAGTGCAGGATAAGCAGTCGACTGGCTGGCTGGACACTGTATAGGTATACTTTGGGGAAAGAGCCTTCAGACATAAATAAGACATAGTCCTGCATTCCAGAAGCTTAGGCCAGCAGGGAAGATGTGATGAGAAGTAACAATACCAAGCAGTCTATGCCATGAGGCAAACGTGTGGCACACACAGTGAACCTTGGGCTCAAAGCGCTGTGGCTGGAGCCATTTGGGACGGCTTCATGAAGACAGAAATGAGCAGACCTTAAAGGGCAAGTAGTATTTCCCAGGACAAGAAGGAAAAAGGGCATTTCCAGGAAGAAAGGGCAGAAGGAAAGCTGGGGAGGCTAAAAACAGCAGTGCTTATTGGAGGAATTATAAGTGGTCTCATCTGGCTAAAGTTAAGGATTCAGGTAGGAGAACTCGGGTTGAAAATAAGACCAAGTTAGTTTGGGGTCAGGTGATGGTATTCTAGAGACCAGTGGAGAAGGCTGTCATGGTTAGTCAGGTGAGTGCTCGCTTCGGCAGCACATATACTAAAAAAAAATGGTTAGTTAGGTGAGCCATGGTTTTCCTTGGGAAATGGCAGTGGGATGGAAGACAAGCAATGCAATCAGATGATCAGCTGACAGTCATTAGCACAAAGGCCATCTGGAGGCATGGGTGGGCTGTGAGGAGCTTTGTCTCATGGCTATAGCTAGGGCGGAAGTGAATGGGAGAAATGACCAGGGCTCCCCAAAATGGCGGCTGATGGGGTTACTGAGTTAAGGGAAAGTCCAGAACCCTCCCTTTGTAGGGGCAGAACCACCAGTCAGCTCCCCCTAAATCCCCAGTGTGTCATGATCCAGTTTCACAGGCCAGCAGGGCCTTTACTGAGACCACAGATATGGCTGGAGGTGGAACTGGAGAGAAGGGTCTGAAGGATACAGCTGGGGAAGCTCATGCCATGCTTTGTACACACCCAATCCCATCTAGACCAGTGGCTAGGCTTCCGTCTATGGCCACGGAAAGAACACTAAGTACCTGCCGAATGCAGGAAGGAGGGAAATTGACAGAGCACATGCAGCCTCTAAACAGGAACAGTGACGCCAGACTAGTAAAGATGTGTGTGGCAGGCTGAATTATGAGTCCCCAGAGATGGCCATGCTCCAATCCCCAAAATTTTGGAATATGTTACCTTACGTGGCAAAGGGAACTGAGGCTGTTAATTAGTTGGCCTTAAAATAAGCTTCTCCTGGATTATCCAGTTGGGGCCACTGTCATCACCTGGGTCCTTAAAAGTGAAAGAGGGAGGCAAAAGGGGAGTCAGAAAAGCGGACATTGCCAGCTTTAAAGACTTAAAGTCGGAGGAAGACTTAAAGTCGGGATTGCAACAGCCTCCAGAAGCTGGAAAAAGACAAGGAAATGGTTCCCAGAGCCTTCAGAAAGAAATGCAGCCCAGCCCACACCTGAATTACAGTTCAGTGAGGTCTGTGCCACACTTCTGACATACAGAGTGGTGAGATAACAATGTCACTAAGCTTGTGGTAATTTGTTATAGCAGCAATCTGGAACAAATACAACATTGGTTCCATCTACATCCCAGATAGCTCCCAGATGTGGGGAGGCTGCTGACATACTTGTGAGCAGTCACAAGAATCAGAGAAAAACCCAGACCACATCCAGGAGAGCTTCAGGTATCCAGGGGCTTGTTCTGCTCTCAGCACAGGTTGGCAATGAACAAGCTTTGCTAACAAGTGAATTGCAGAAAACATTTTATTTATTTTTATTTTGTGAACAATTCGCAAGAGAAACTAAATTCATGAAACATGCTTTTTATTTCTAGGTAGGTGTTACAGGTTACATCTGCCAGCAGTCCTTGCTGCCTTTAAAATGTGTTCCCTTTCCAGCATTACTCACATTCTCTCTGCTGGCCACTCTCAAAAATGTATTTTGCTTTTGCATTTCATTCTACAAGTTACAACTCTGGAGTGTAAGTAAGACATAAGGTGGGCCCAAAGGGCTTCTGAGCACTGTCAAGGGCACAAAGTGCTGAGTAATATAATCTTTGGTTAAAGAATAATTATCAACAATAAAAGCTTTAGTAAAAGGATTTAAATTCTATTATCCATAACTTCATAGAAATAAAGATATTTTTCTAAGACTTCTTCACAGTAGAGGACTCAGCTCACACAGATACCCTCTCACATAACCTCAAAGGTTTTTCTTTTCTTTACAGATAAAGTAATCCTTTCTGAGCGTTCTCATCACATCCCCATGGGTGATGCCTTCCTTCTGCTCCCTAACTAATCTGTAATGCAGCTTCACATATTTGGCAAAGGGTCTCACATGGGGCTTTATGGGGGTCCCATCTTTCCGAGTTGATGGCAGCAGGACCAGAGGTCCCTTGCATTCAGCACAGACAAAGCGCACAACGTCCAACGATCTGGTGTAGCGGCCAACCCTAAGGAGGAAAGATATACCACACAACAAAGGGTTAGTCACTGTAACTCAGCCTCTTCTCTGTGCTGGCCTTGGGCCCAAAGCCAGATTTTCTGGGGATTCTCAGAGTGGGGCACCAAGCAGCAGCAGTGGTCAGGCTGGCTCAAAGTAGGGGAGATTGGAGAAAAGAGGACACAGAAAGGAGTAAAGAGGTTTTACTCCTCAAGTCAGACAGCCATGTACTTATTAATGTAATCACTGAAGAGCCACTTGGAGGCCTTAGTAAAAACATGATTGGAAAAAGTCTGAGGAGAAGGATCTTACCTGGTTTTGCATTGAGCACACTCATAATAAATCTTGTAGTTAATCTTGTAGTTATGGCAACGGGTGACTAAGGGCAGCTCTGGGTGCACCATATTACATTTTCTGGCATAATATCTCCATGCGTGGCCATGAGAATCACGGATGCCATCAAGCAGCCAGGAGGCTGCGTGGCATAGCTCATGTATCAAAGTATCCCGGATTCGGTCTTGGAAAAGGAATAAAAAGAAACCATGAGCACTTAAACCGATTCCCTTCCGGTCACTACCCATGCAGCCCTGGACTCTCAACCCCACCACACAAAATGCCACCTTATATAAACATATGCAGGTGAGCATGAGTGTTATTTTTCCAGGATTCTGAAAGGGAAATTTCTATCCACTTCAACCCAATATGGTAAATGGCAGAGCCTGGGTGGTGAATCTTTCGGAGCAGCTCCAGCCTGCTCATCTTTCTGTGGGACACTGCCCGAAATACACCTGGCCAAGACCTGGTTTCTGCCCTCCAGGAATATAGGTGGACAAGGTGGGGAAAGTCACCTGGGCTGTGCGATTTGGTCAGGAGAAGCACTATGGAGAAACCGGGATCTGAGCTGGGCCCTTAACAACTGACTGGATTTGCAAAATTAGAAAAGCCATTCTGGGTGTGAAAAATGTAAGCAAAGATTGAGGCCAGGAAAGCCTGTGGGCCATTCTGAGAGCCAGTGGGAAACCAGCCTTGCTGGAGCACAGGCTAGTGGTGGAGCAGTGGGAGCCAAGACAACAACAGCCTTGAAAGCCGGGCTCCAGGCACTGGCAAGCCCCAGGTTTCTTAGCAGAGAGAAGAGTGAGGTGATGAGGGCCCATACCTGGGCAGAGGCAAAGATAGAGAAGGAATAACAGGAGAGTCATTATGAAGATCTGGTGATCGGGTAGATGTAGGGAACCTTGACCCTCAGTTACAGGGAGAATGAAGATGCTGCTGCTGCCAACAGGAAGCTGCAGAGAGAAAGTTAGGCTTACTAGAAAGATGGACAAGTGGGACTCTCAAGGATGGTGAGACATCCAATAATAATGTCCTCTAAGCAACACACAGTAGGCCTGTCCACCCTGGAATGACAGGTAAGGCTGTGACACAGGATGCCAGGGAATATCAGCACCTAAAAATAACTTAATAGGCACTGTGTCAGAAGAAAAGAGCCCAGAGGGAAAGCTGCCATGCTGCTGCCATCACCTGCAGAATCGCAGACTTTCAGAGAAATCTCAATCTTAGTGTAACGTTCCCTCGGGTAATGAAACACGCCAGAGCTGCACAAGCCAGCAGTTCTCAGCATCTTATTATTCCAGCAGATATCCAGTCTCTCTGGCAGCTGAGAAAGACAAGCAAACAGTAAATCAGAAAGCAGTTCTAAGCAGACCGGAAAATATTAACTCAAGAATTTTTGCAAATCTAAACATTCTGGGGAGAATTAAAGGCAAGTCAAAGCTCAGGCAAAGACCATTAACAGGCCATCAGGACGCAAGGGAGACTCTGAGAGCGTGGGAGTGCAGGGGCTGTGCTCCCTCGCATGGAGACCAAGTCAGAGGCAGCCACGAGAGGACAAACCAGTTGAGGTAGATGTGACCTGTGTGAGAGGGTGAGGCACAATTGAAAACGCAAGTCAGAACTTAAGGTTCCGCTAATCAGTCATCTGATGTGGCATCAGGAAGGGCACCTAAGAATGAGGAACCTTTAGAATGACAGAACTTTCCCTGCAGAGACAATAAAGTCTGAAAAACCTAATGGCCAATGGGTCTGCCTCTCTGCCCCAGATTCCTCCCAATCTAGTCTGCACCCCTGCTTCTGACAGACTTGTTTCTTTCAGCAGCCGCTTCATAGCACATCCCTGTGCAGTGGTGCCTACTGATTTCAATTTAAGCTCCCCCAACCTGATTCCCAAGGCTGTCTATTATCTAGTCCTATACTATAAAAAAAAAAATAGCTACATGTATTACTGACTATGCTGTAAGTCTTGTTCTAATACACTTCAGGTGTATTAACTTACCTAGGCCAAACAATAATTCCATGAAGTAGGAGGAACAGTACTATGATTGTCCCCATCTTATAGATGAGGAAATGGAGGCAGAGGACTCAAGTAATTTGCCTGAGGTCACATTATTCTTCAACACAAATCCTCTTCCAGATAGTTGAGCCTCAAAATATGCCCTCTCTACCATCACTGACTTATCCCCACTTATCATCCTTCCTTAACCAGAACAAGTCTCACTTCCTCCTGGCAATCCTATTTCCGGACCACTGCGGTCTCAGTGATTTCTCCCTCTCCTGATCTCCTGTGGTAGTAACAGTCTGTACCGTATATTATAATCCACAAACATTCTCTATTTCTTTCACATAAGCATGTCTCATCTCCCCACCTAAATTGACACTTCTTAAGGACAGGAAATATACCATTAGCACATCTGCACACCTCACAACACCCAAGAGTGCCAGGCATACACTGGGAATTCAATCAGTGCTTCTTCATTGATTTTACCTTGTTCTCAAAGACAGTGTTGTTCATCAGAGTGTACAATTTCTGAACCAGTTCATCCTTATTTTTCTTGAATTTTCTTCCAGAATACTGCTTTAACTTTTCAATGTTACGCAAGAAACATCCAGGTATATTGCAGTTAGTGTTCCTGCAAAAGGAAATTCAACTGAGTCTTGTATAACTAAACAAATAAATAGAAGAAATACATGCATGTCAAGAGAGACTTGGAAAACTTAGCAAGTCCCTCCTCCTTCCAACTCCTTATATGAGGGCACTTCCCAAGATTCCATTCATAGCCTTTTCCTCTTTACTCCTTGCAAATCCTCAGATATGGGAAGCCCACGGTTTCAGCCTCAACAGAAGTGATCCATACCTATATCTTCAGTCTCGATCTCTCTCCTAAGATCTAGTTCTGAGTTTACTATTAATTGTCCGATGCAAATTTCCAACTGACTCACATGAGCATGTCTCCAGCTCAATGTGTTTAATACCCAACTTCTGTTATATACAAGCTGAAAACCTCAAAGACATTTCTTGATTAATTTATTCCTTACCCTATATCCAATTAGGCACAACAGACCACTCTTTCCCACCACCTCATTGTCACCACCCTAGTTCCTCACCTCCCCTTTACACATTGATATTACAGCATCCCTCTGTATTCCTTGCCTCCAAGCTCTTTTTTCTAATGTAACTCACAAACATACCTCCAGATTAATTTTCCTAGGCCATGTTCCAATTATGTCCCACTGACTTCTTGGCCCAGGTCAAGCTAGTCCTGATTTCTATTGCTTTTTTAAAAAAAAAATTTTTAATTGAGTTTTAGAGAAAGAGGAAGGGAAAGAGAGAAACATCAATAAGCTGCCTCCTGCATGCCCCCTACTGGGGATCAAACCTACAAGCTGTGCATGTGCCCTGACCAGGAATCCAACTGGCAACCTTTCGGTGCATGGGATGGCTTTCAACCAACTGAGCCACACCGGCCAGGGCTCCTGACTTCTATTTCTAACTGGCATTCCCATTTTGGCCAAAGTGAGCAACTTAAATATTCCCTTGATGGGAACTGTGATTTCCCAGTTCATTCATGCCTTAGTATGACCTATTTGCCCATGGCCTAGAATGGCCGCATCTCCACTGAGAACAAACTCCTGAGTAACACTTTATAATTTGCCAAGAACTTCCTTTTGCATTATCATAGCTCATCTTCACAACTGCCTGCCAGAAAAACTATTACCAGTCTTATGATCTCCACTTTGCAGATAAGGAAACTGAACCTCAAAGGTTTTAACTTACCCAAAGTTTATGGAGACCCATATCACATGACCACTATTGCTGCCCCATCTTTCAAGGCCTAATTCAAATGCACAAAGAACAGTGCTGAACACATAAAGGCCTCACACTTGTAATAACTATTTATTGAAACTAAAGCATTTTTATCTTGGCTGGAACAATCCACAAGTCCAAAGAGACAAACCCACAGAGCTGGAAAGATAAAACAGGAGCAAACACAGGGAAGTGAGTTTCTGACTTAACAGGGCACTAATTAACCCCTAAGTCACAAAATAAACCCTATGTGAGGTGGCTGGGGTTAGGGAGACGGAAAAAGTACCAGACCAGGCAAATGCAGCTAAAGTAAGGTTCTTCATCCCAAAGCCTGATATGACTACCATTCCTGCCTCAAATTACTTAGTTATGAAAGCAAATTTACATCAGAAAAGGTGGCAGATGAAGACCAGAACCATCTGCAGACCTCAGCAGAGAATGTGACCCCTGTTTGTATTTGTGCTCACAGCAAGCAGGCCTTGTGGCTTAGCATACCTTCACCTCAATGCCTGTGCCATTTTACTGCAGGCTAGGTGTATCCACATCAGAGGAGTCAACAAAACTCAAAATGGGTACATTAGACACCATGACCAGTAATCAGCCTCCACAGGAACAATGCTAAGCACAACAGGAAGTCTACAGACTGAAACAGGAAGTACCAAGGCAGCACTGAGGAGTCCAAACAGGCTAGTCTCCTTTGCATGAAGCAGAGGACAATGACAAAGGGGCAGTTTTTTTCTTCTTTTGTCACACTGTCCAGCCAAGCAACCTTGGAGCGACCAAAAACACCCGTTCCTATAGGCAAAGCAGCTTGAATATGTATCTAGGAATCCAAAGAAGAAACTTTGCTGGGAGGGGAGCCTTCTAATACAGAACAAGCCATACTGCTATCAGCTACCTCACCCGGTGAGAAGTGTGGAAACAGAACCTCTCTGCTCAGGCCCAAGTCACTGTGTTGCCCAATGCCTGATACATCACTCTTCTTCTCCCCTTAAGATGCACTCATTGCTCCAGAATACAAGTAAAATATTAAACATACAATCCTTCAAATATATGCCTTCTATCATAAGATAATTCAGATGTAAGTATATATTGCTCCTGAATGCAAGTAAAAACAAAGACATTATGCATACTGCATCATATTATTAAAGAAGAAAGTCAGAAGTTCCCAGAATCTACATGAGAAAATGTATTGATTCTTTGCTTCCTTTAAGTATTAGCATGTCTTTGGTCAAAATGGCCTATTGCTTTCAGTTTCAATTATATATAGCTCAATAAAAATAAAGGAACTATAAGCAATCTATTTCACCCCAATGTTTAATAAAGCTTGAAAATTATGCAAGAATATATAGAAGTAATAAGAGTAATCGAGTTCATGAAAAACCTGGAAGACAATCCTGCCTGCCCTCCTCCTGATACCAGCGGACTGGAACATGTCAATACTGCCTTCTCACCATTTCCACTGCGTTTGCTTTGGTTTAGTGCAAACCAGTGGCCATGAGGCTGGAAAAAAAAGTATCTTGTTTGGTTACATATCATTCTTTCATCTGAATTAAAGGGCAAAGGAAACCTCAGAGGCCAGAGCTGCTACAGGGGCAAAAGTGTCCTAGTTGCCTGAAAACTGCAGGGGTCTTTGCAGAGTGCCACCCCAGCTCTGTTGGGGAAAAGGGAGGAGGGGAGCGGCCAGAACCTGGGCCTCTCCCTCCTGCTTATGCCTTCCCAGTTCAGGGATGGAAACTTTTGTCCCCCTCCTCCACCAGACTCCTTCATCCCCCCCTGAACCCCACCACATATGCCCAGTGGGATGCTTAACATCTGACAATCATGCAATCAATTCCTGGTTGGTTGAACATGAGCAGTACGTACCTAGGTTCACACTTAGGTCGCACTGCTCTGCGTTTCTTCTTTGAAGGCTGAACCCACTTTTGTTCTCTAACAGCTGAAAAGATAATAGTTCATTTGTACCCCAAAAACTGGTACCATCAAGCAACTGGCAGAAACCTAGAAGGACCTCCCCCCCAGCCCCCGCCCCCGGTCATACCCAGAGCAACATCTATAAGCAACAACTGTCTGCCTGAAGGCTGCATATTGCTCCATCTGTCAGCATGAAATATTTACACACTGACTCAAGAGCTGCCCACAAAAAAAGCTGTGTAGGACTCTGTCACAAGCACTGAGACTTATAATGGGGTCACAGGAGCAAGTGCCAAGGTTGGACTGTGAAGGCAACTGAGGTATTAGCAGTACAAGGAGCAGCATGGCATATCTCACATACTGGCTCTGAGGAAAATGACTCATATCTCAGGAAGCACCTTCACCCTATTTGAAAGCCAAATCTTTCCACCATTGTCTAGCTCCCATACTGCTGGTGTCTCTAACCAGAGACTTATGTATCAGGAGTGTCATTCATTCACTTAAAATATTTATTAAGCATCTGATATGTGCCAAACACCAGGTTAGACCCTGGGAGAGAGTGAAAGGTGAGTAAGAGTCCTCCAATCAATAGGCTCAGTGTCTACTGGGGGGACAGATTCAGATGTGAGTGCTTTAGCAGAGGTGGGGTCTAAAAACCTGGGACCCCAGAAGGAGGAGCAACTCTGACTTATAGCTTCCTATAAGTGACAACTGGGCTGGGTCCTAAGAAAAATCAGATATCCTCAGGACAAAAAGCTCAGGGACAGCTCTAGTTGGTTTAGCTCAGTGGTTAGAGTGTTGGCCCTTAGACTGAAGGGTCCTGGGTTCGATTCCGGTTGCAGGCTTGATCCCTGATCCCAGGCCCTGATGGAGCTATGTGTGGAAGGAAACCAATCAATGTGTCTCTCTCACATCGATGTTTCTCTCTCTCTCTCTCTCTCTCTCTCTCTCCCCCCCCTCCCTCCACTCTCTTTAAAAATCAACAGGGAGGGAGAGGATAGCCTCAGGTGAGGATTAACAACAAAAAAGCTCAGGGAGAGCCCTAACCGGTTTGGCTCAGTGGACAGAGTGTCGGCCTGCGGACTGAAGGGTCCTAGGTTCAATTCTGATCAAGGGCATGTATCTTGGTTTCAGGCACATCCCCAGTGGGGGGGTGTGCATGAGGCAGCTGATCGATGTTTCTCTCTCATCGATGTTTCTAACTCTCTATCCCTCTCCCTTCCTCTCTGTAAAAAATCAATAAAATATATTTTTTTTAAAAAAAAAAGCTCAGGGAGAAAGTACTCCAGGCAGATAGGATGGTGAACACTAAGACTTGGGTGCTCCTCCTCCATTTCTAGAAAGATCCTTTTCATTGGGATGGTGGCCTCCCTTGGCCACTTAGGAAGCTGTTGAAATGGCACAGGGTTGGCAGGTAGGAAAGGCAGACCCAACAAGACACATCCAGGGGAAAGGGCAAGGCAGGCGTGGCTGGCACACTGGGAGGGCTACTTGGGGGAACAGGGATACTTAGCTTGACTGGCTTACCAGGTGTCACACATAAATTTTTGGTTTTACATTTCCTTTTCTTTGGTACAGGTCCATCAGTTGACATTTTTATATCTGAAATCTCTACTTCAACCTCAGCAGCATTTGGTGGTTGGCAGAGATTTTCACCAGTATCATCAGGTGAATTGCATAGAGAGAGAGCACACTGCTCCATCTCCTTTTCAATTGAGGCCATTTGGCCCTCATCAGCTGCATCCTCTTCTGTTGTCACAGGGCCCTCCACATTACTATCATCATCATCACTGATAATTATTGGAAACTCCTGGATCATAAAGTCATCAGTATCAGATAACACTTCCAGAATCTCATCTGAAATTCAAGAGGCACATTCACATATAAGCAGACTTTCTCCACCCTATGTCCCCACCCTGAGACACTCAACTTCAGATTATTGAGCAGAAATTAAACAAGCAGGAAACTGTGACATTATGAATCACAGTTAAGAATCAGTTATTCTAGATTATTTTCCCTCTATTACTTCTTTACTTTACAGAGAATAGTTACAGATAAAACCAATCCAAGTCCAGTGGAAATCTTCAAATCACATTCTCTAAATAGCATGACGTAGGTGATTAGATATTCCCAAATACAGGTCAGTAGATTTGTATAGTCTCACTGGTCCATAGAAAAATAAGAGACAATAGAATAATACAGGGGTTTTTTTCCCCAACAAGTTCAATTTCTGTAACTTAAAGGACTGTCCTTTATTTTGAGATTATGTTCTCACTAAACTTTTGGGGCTCTTTATTTTATGAAATCATGGTGACAGTAGATAGTAGTTGGAGTGTATTTCCATCATCAGACAAATTAAAAATTGGCAATTCTATGCTTGCCACCAAAATTTAATTTTCTAACCACTTATGTAAGAGTGAGGAGTTAAGTCCTGATGTCAGCACTGAAAGGCCTTGGGAGCATTTGGAATGTCATCGCCCTCAGTTGAAGGAGCCCTTCACCTGATTTGAAGGGCAGCATGTCTAACACCACATGCTCTCTGGAGTCTGTTCAGAGCTTAGCTTCTAGGTTTCTGATTCTGGATGTAAAAATGTAAACCAGAGCAGAGGCAAGGTGTGAAACATATCCATGACGCAAAAAAATCTTTATTGTAAAACTAGAGGCCCAGTGCATGAAATTCGTGCACTAGGGGGGGGGGTGTCCCTCAGCCCAGCTTGCACCCTCTCCAATGCGGGACCCCCCCCCCCACAGGAATCGGGCCTAAACAGACAGTCGGACATCCCTCTCACAATCCAGGACTGCTGGCTCCCAACCACTCACCTGCCTGCCTGCCTGATTGCCCCTAACTGCTTCTGCCTGCCAGCCTGATCACCACCTAACCACTCCCTTGCCAGCCTGATAGATGCCTAACTGTTCCCCTGCCAGCCCAATTGCCCCCAACTGCCCTTCCCTGCAGGCCTGGTCCCCCACAACGGCCCTCCCCTGCCAGCCCGATTGCCCCCAACTGCCCTCCCCTGCTGGCCATCTTGTGGCAGCCATCTTTGACCACATGGGGGCAGTCATCTTGTGTGTTGGAGTGATGGTCAATTTACATACTGATCATGACTAATTAGCATATCAGGGCTAATTAGCATATCCATCTCAAATTTGTATTTGGTGTGATGGTCAATTTGCATGCCAGTTGTGACTAATTAGCATATCCAGGCTAATTAGCATATCCCTCTCTTATTTTTTTTTTAGTTTTTATTTATTTTTATTTTTTATTAGTTAAGGTATTACAAATGTGTCCTCATTCCCCCCCATAAACCCCCAACCTCCCCCCCACACCCCGCACACTCATGCTCCCATCCCCCTGTTGTCCATGTCCATTGGTTTGGCTTATATACATGTATACAAGTCCTTCGGTTGATCTCTTCCCCTTACCCCCGCCCTCCCCTACTTTCCTTCTGGGGATTGATAGCCTGGTCGCTGTTTCTCAGTCTTTGGATCTGTCCCTTTTCATCAGTCTATGTTGTTCTCTATAATCCACAAATGAGTGAGATAGCATATCCAGGCTAATTAGCATATCCCTCTCTTATTATATAGGATTGCAGATTTGGGAGAATGTATATTGAGACTCTCGTCTATTATTTGAATTAATTACCAAACAACTTTAGATATGCAATAAGGGAAGAGAAAGGAGTGGGCATTCCTATTGTAAAAAGCCATGCTCCCCAGAAAATTTAAAGATTTCCCACTGCAATGGAAACTTCAAACAAACAGTGGGGACGCACTGCTCACAATCCATAAAGCATGACCCCATCCATTGACAAAGGTTAGAATTGAGGTTTAAAGTGTGTTAAAATTCCTCAGGCCTCTTTTTCTGTAAAATTATCAAAATTCATGTGGAGAACAATAAAGAGACAAAGACAGTCCCTTGGAGCCTTCTTCATCCCTCCATGACTGAAATGGATGCCCACAGTTATTAGCCCACTGGTCAGAAATGTAAGAGCAGCCTGAGTTGGAAGTTCACCCTCAAAAGACTACGGATCTTCTGACTCAAGGAGTCAGCAGCTAGTGGCCTATGGGCTCTGTCACTCATGCTCTACTCTGCAGCTACCTCCCAGGAACCCCTTTCCTGCTCAGGCACATGCACTCAGAGCTAAAGAAAAGGAGGGAGAAAAGAAATTCAAGTGGGCAGGTGGTGGAACAGGAGGCTAGGGTTCTAAGCCACCTCTCTTTTCCCTGCTCTCATATCCCAGGTTAGCTAGGAAATGCTAGCCAATGGTAGTTTTAGTGTAATTACCAAAGAAGTAACCAGTACCTTAACTAAGCACCTATGTATCATGCCCTACACCTTGTACTAAGCGAACAAAGATAAATAAAATATCACCCCTGATGCTTAAGAAGCTCCTAGTCTTCCTACATTTCAGACCCACTGAGCAGGTTGTAACCTGGGAGTAAAGCTCCATGCCTCTCACAAGGTTAAAAGGGCCTCTGAATCTAAAGAGGCAAGGTCCTGCTGCAGGAAGCAGGTGGTGAGAAAAACAGGAATCTCTAGAAAATATACAGAGAGTAGCAAAAGGCAAAGACAAAGAGCTAGATGAAGAAAGCACAGATTCTTCTGCAGGCCCATGATCATCACCCACCCAAGTCTCCATCAGGCAGAAAGAAGGAGTCCATGCCTCTCTCACTCCTCTTTGTTACTCCTACACAGAGAGAAGGAAGAAGGGTGTCCTTGGCTTGCTTCCCTCTGCTCCCTTAAAGCAGTGCTACGTAGGTGAGAACTCCATTGAGAGAAATGCCCAGGGTCTAAGGCAGCAGCAGGAGCAGTTGCTGCTGTGTTAGGAAATCTACCAAAGGGTGTAGGGAATCCAGCTATATCTACATCCGGCACATATGAGGAAAGAAATGGTGGCATCACTACTAAGTGACTCAGAATAGAACTTTGGCTGACTTATCTTGCAGTGCTTGTGTGTGATGAGCTTGCAGAGCTCAGCTGCTTCTCTAATTTTGTGGTATACTTATCTCTGCCACTTTTGGCATCCTTACTTCCATCTTCCTCAGGGAAGTATTCATCATCAGAATCCGAGTCAATCACCACATAGCTGAGTGATAAGATAGGGAAACACCAAAGAAAAGTGTGAACACAACATTCTTTCCATGACATTTCCGATCTTTTCTACAATGAACAGGATCACTTTGTTATCCCCTTGAACATTTCATCCTTAAAATTATCTCGTTTCTTGATTTCCAGAATACTGTTCTGTTTCAGTTCTCTTCTCACTTTTTCATCCACTCCTCACTCACTTCTTTCCCTCATCACATTCCCAGAGTTTAGCTAACAACCCTTTCCTACCAATTTAATCAATTCCTTGGGATTGGGTAAGCGTTATCTATCTGCCCACCCAATCCATCCTATCCAGTCCGACTTTGCCTCTGACTTCTATCTCCTCAATTCCAAATTCCTGCCTGAATGTCCTGTGTGTAGAGCCAATTTTTAGTCAGCATGCATAGGAATAACTTTCCCAACTGCTGACTGATAGTGTCTGTTCTGACAACTCAGGCAGCATCCTAATTCCTGTCTGTACTCTATTGGTCATTAAATGTTTTGAATATCAGCCCTGGTTATTGGCCTCTTAATTTCAACATGCCCCAAACTGCTCATCACTTTCCTCCCCAAACCCACTCTTCCTATAGTATCCCAGAGAGAAGCCACCTGGCACTGAACCATGATCTGTGGGCACTCCTTACAGGCCCCTTAAAATGGATTTTCTTTACATATTTAGTCTAGCAGAGGCAGGAAGAAACCAATTTTTCTATTTAAAAATTAAATAGTTTTTAATTGATCAAATAAGGACTTTTGTGTATAATGTTATAAACCAGACTACTTCTAAGGATCCATGATAAACTATTTAAAATGCAAATGAGAGTCATGGAAATATTCTGCATCTTTGACAGTCGTGATGGTTACACCACAGTATATGAGTTTTGTCAAAATTCATCAAACTGTACATTGAAAAAGTGTGAATTTTGCTATATGTAAATCAAACCTCAATAAACCTGCCTTAAGTATAAATAATAAAACTGATCATTTCCAATAAATAGCTTTATACAATGCATTATTTGGTTCCAGAATTACAGCTGACTGTAACTGCTGACTTTAAATCACTTTTCACACACTGGTGGCAGGCTTTATGGCTTACATGTTGCAAAATAATCAACAGAGATAAATCAGAGCTGACTAGAAAAAATTTCCCACTTGACAGCGCTATTTGGCTTGGAGGAGGATGGGGGGCAGAAATGACCAATTAACATTTCTACAGAGATGTAAGGAGTATATGTGGAAACCATAGTCATCTAGCACCATATTTCAGATTTATTCCAATAATTGTAGCATCTCCTATAGTTTGGCACCTGGGCAACACCTGTTCATCTAACTCTGGCTAGCATAGAAGGCTCCTTAATAGAAATAGAAGATAATGCTGAAAGATGGAAGAGTGTTGGACCACAAAGGACTTTATCTACTGGGGATAGACAGCTTGATTTTCCTATGACAAGCAATTGAAATAGGGGATCAATATGGCCAATGCAGTGTCTCTGGAGATGAATCTGGAAGTGCGATGCAGACTGGATCAGAGGAGGAAGAGATCAAGGGGATGAGCCACTTAAAAGCACTCTTACACTAACACAAGAGTGAAAACTGATCAGGGCCTGTGTAGTGGAGACTGGAAGTTAAAAGATGGTTCACAGCAACATTCTGAAAGAGAATCTAATTAGATAATGGACCGGAATTAAGGAATCTGATATTTTGAACCTGGTTGTGAGATCAAGCACCCATTATGAGCCTGAACATGGTGTTCACAGAGGAAAAGTGATATCTATTCTGAAATCTTACTCAGAACATTGTTCCTTAAAAAATGTCAAATTTGCCCTGGCTGGTGTTGCTCATTTGTTTGGAACATCATCCTGTGTACCAAAAGATTGCAGGTTCAATTCCCAGTCAGGGCACATACCTAGATTGTGGGTTCGATCCCCAGTCGGGGCACATACAGAAGGCAACCAATCGATGTTCTCTTTCACATTGATATTTCTCTTTCTCTCTCTCTCTCTCTCTCTCTCTCTCTCTCTCTCTCTCTCTCTCTCTCTCTCTCTCCTTCTCCCTCTCCCCTCCCCTCCCCCTCTCTCTAAAATTAGTAAGCATCTCCTTGGGTGAGGATTTTAAAAATTGTCAAATTTCACTAATTCTCCTACTTACTCTATGTTCCTATTCTGTGTGCTCATTCCAGCCACACCTAAATTAGAGAAAGAAAGAGGGTATTAGAAAGCATCTGAATCATGACAAAATCTGGTGACCCATGTTTTTAAGTCCCTAAAACCAAAGTCCATAAATTGAAACTGGTTAAAAATTTATGGTGGACTCTTTTCTTACATTTCCCATGAGAGATAGAGAGGAAATAAAAGTAAGGAGACCTAGAATGAATGAGGTAAAGGAAACAAATTAAAAAAGGAGCACAGTACAGGGAACTTCTTTTGCTCTTAGCAGCAAGGACATTAACTTTGCTTCCCCAATCTAGAGAGAGCCCTAGAAGAGACCAATCCAGGACCAGCTCACACCAAATCACACTTCAGTCATCTCTACAAAGACATGGTTAAATTACCGCTTTGAATAGGCTGTACTCACAGGGCTCAAATTCTTCATCACTGCTTGAGTCCACAATAATAATGCTATTGGAGAAATAAAATACATGTTGCTTTAAAGGAAGGCTACCAACATCATAATGCCAAAAATCTCCAACGAAGAGAACCCCCCAAATCATAGTTTCTGAAATGCACATTGGTTTTAAAGGCTTATGAAATTAGGCACAATAGGGGAGTGAAGGAAAATTAGAAGCAACTTAGTCTTTACTACAGAGTCAAAGATAGGGGAAGAACGTTAGTGGAGTATCATTAGCTATCAGTGCCTGTTTTCTGCCAAATGTTTTCTTTCTATTTAAAGATATAAAAGTGAATTCTGATAAAGGAGCCACAGGGGAAAGGACTTAAGGATGAAGAGAATACAGTTAAAATTGAAATGGGCAAAAGGGACATCCCTTGGGGCTTTACTGCTTGAAGAGGGCCTGCTTATAGGGACTACTATCTAGGTAAACAGACAAATGCTGGAGTCCATTTCTTGGGGAGCAAACAACAGATGATTTTAAAGCTGTAACTGGTCCCTGCCCTGAGCCATGATGTTAGGGCCTCTTGCTTCTCTGCCTCACAATTTCCTTGGGCACTCGTATTCATTCTTCCCTGCCATGTGGCAGCCTGAGGTGAGGCCACAGCACATTCTGGCTCAGGATCCCTCAGCTCACCAGATAGCAGCTGACAGTCGTCAGCCATGCATGATACAGATTCCAAATCCAGCTTGGAGAACTCATGCTGCAGTAAGCATCACTTCAGCATTGAAATTAGCTACATCCTAGGACCTAATCATAGGTCACCTTACCATTAGTTATTGTGACAGAGCTCACAGAGGGTACCACAGGTGCTAAAGAAGGTGGACATTTAATAGCTGTAAGGGTTTACATATATTTATATGGTTTTACATAATAGTTACAAGATTTTACATATAAAAAAGGTAGCCTTAACCACTTCTTGAGGACTTTCATTTTAGCCTTGAGGTTGATTACTGGGAAGACATGCTGGCTCACTCCCTTAATTAAATTTCCTATTCATTTATCCATTACTATACACTAGACTTACTGAGTAGTAGACTTCAAGTTGTTTTGTTTTTTAAATCAAGAAAGAAAATTCTTGCTAGGTGTAAGGTTTGTAAGGAATGGGTCCAAATGTGACCTTGGTTATCTTGAAACCTATTATCAATAAGTAGCACTGTATATAAACTAAACTATACTTCATCTATTTTCTTACATGCTTTTGCATTAGATACAGAGAGCAGACTGATAGTTGCCAGAGGGGAGGGGGCTTGGGGGACTGGGTGAATAAGGTGAAGGGATTAAGAAGTATAGACTGTGGGGGGCAATGGACGATAAGGACACATGTAATATCTTAATCAATGAAGAAAAAAAAAGAAGTACAGACTGGTAGTCACAAAATAGTCAAGGGGATGTGAGGTACAGTATAGGGAATATAGTCAATAATATTGTAATAACTATGTGTGGTGCCAAGTGGGCACTGGAAATACTGAGGGGAACACTATGTAAAGTATATGATTGTCTAACCACTATGTACACCTGAAACTAACACAAAATAATATTGAATGTAAACTGTAATTAAAAAATAAAATTTAAACTTCTTTTAAAAAAATAAAACAAAGAATCTTGGGCTAAAAAATGAAAATACTAATTAGGCTTTGATTGATCAATGAACACCAGACCCCCACCCTTTGTATTATGTATTTCAGTAGCATTTCTGCACTTCCGCCCCTTCAAACTGCCAAAACCCCCTTTTACTCTTAACGACTTTGTATCATAAGTCACTGGGACAATAGAAGCAATCAGACAGGAATGCCCTCATCCTCCCAGGAACAAATTGACTAACTTATCTGTAACTACCTGCCTTCTCTGTTCTCAACAAAAGCATAGTGTCCCTACCACTATCTGAGGCCAAGTCCTCCCTTGTTCTTTCTATCTCATCCTCCTCTAGCCTTCTCAAGGACTTTATTCCTGCAATGTTCTGTGCTGTATTATTGTCCCCTCTCCCTGGTTCATTCATTCTACTATCCCTAGACCCCATGTCCCCCAATTATATATTTCCAGACTTGAACTTTCCACTGAACTCCAGCTATATGTATAATATCTTGGGTATTACTAAGTATTTAGAACATAACATGGCCAACACAGAACTCTTGATTTCCTCCCTCAGTCCTGTTCCTACACCAGTCTTACCCATCTCGGTCACTGGCACCACCATCCAATCCATCAGCAAGACCTGCTGGCTCTACCTCTAGAGTAGCGGTTCTCAACCTGTGGGTCGCAACCCCTTTGGGAGTTGAACGACCCTTTCACAGGGGTCGCCTAAGACCATCGAAAAAAACATATATAATTACATATTGTTTTTGTGATTAATCACTATGCTTTAATTATGTTCAATTTGTAACAATGAAAATACATCCTGCATATCAGATATTTATATTACGATTCATAACAGTAGCAAAATTATAGCTATGAAGTAGCAACGAAAATAATTTTATGGTTGGGGGTCACCACAATATGAGGAACTGTATTAAAGGGTAGCGGCATTAGGAAGGTTGAGAACCACTGCTCTAGAGTAAATTTCATCTAATCTAAAACATTATTATATGTACACTACCAAATGATTACATACTATCAAACATATAATGTATCCTAATTTCAGAAATGATGAAATGTGAAAAAATGTCTTAGATGTACTACAATATTCATCCAACTCTCTCCCACTCCACTATTACCACCTTACTCTAAGCTAACATCACTTCTCACCAAACTTCTGCAAATCTGTTCTTGGGCCTTGGTTGTAAAAGAACTATTTATCTCATAGGGCTATTATGAAAATTAAACAAGATAATGTCTGGCCTCCTATAGGATCATGTACTTCTCCCCCATCACAGCACTTATCACACTATACTGTAATTGCCTGTTTACATGTTTCTACTTTCCATCCCAGATGGTAAGCTATGCAAGGGTTTGGTAGTATATCTGTTTCACACTGATTTGAAGTGTCATTTTTATCATGAACTAAATTTTCTTATGTATTCAGGTCTATTTCCAAACTCTTTGTTCTACGGTTTCTACACTCTCCCATATACGCTTACATGCTTGTCTGTGAAGGAGGAAACCAGGGCAGTGTCCCAGGAGAAGACTAGAGGAGATAAGACAACTACCTTAAAGTACAACATCATGGAGAAGAAAAATACTACATCTGTTATTTCTAGAGGGCAGCACTATAAACCAGGTAGAAGTAAAGATAGGTTTGAAGTTCCTCAGAATGCAGAACATTCTAGTAATTACCCTGTACACATATTCAACAATACAATTGTGTGTAGGAGTTGTATGTTCCTGGCTACCAACAGAGATGTTATATAGAGGACTAGAGGCCCGGTGCATGGGGGGTCGGGGGGGAGTCCCTCAGCCCAGCCTGCACCCTTTCCAATCTGGGACTCCTGCAGGATCAGGCCTAAACTGGCAATCAGCTCTCACAATCCGGGACTGCTGGCTCCTAACCGCTCACCTGCCTGCCAGCCTGATCACCCCCTAACTGCTCCCCTGCCAGCCTGATTGACATCTAACTGCTCCCCTGCTGGCCTGATTGCCCCCAACTGCCCTCCCCTGCTGGCCCAGCCGCCCCCAACTGCCCTCCCCTGCTGGCCTAGTCACCTCCAACTGCACTCCCCTGCCGGCCTGGTCACCCCTAACTGCCCTTCCCTGCTGGCCCGGCCGCCCCCAACTGCCCTCCCCTGCCAACCTGATGGCTTCCAACTGCCCACCCCTGCCAGCCTGATCACCCACAACTGCCCTCCCTTGCCAGCCATCTTGTGGCAGGCATCTTGTGGCGGGCATCTTGTGGCGGCCATCTTGTGACGACATCACGTGAGGGCATCGCGCGATGTCTCTAGGCTTTTATTATATAGGACTAGAGGCCCGGTGCACAAAAATGTGTGCACTCGAGGGGAAGGGGGGGTCCCTCAGCCCGGCCTGTGCCCTCTCGCAGTCTGGGACCCCTTGGGAGATAACGACCTGCTGGCTTAGGCCTGCTCCCGGGTGGCAGAGGGCAGGCCCAATCCCTAGGTGCAGCCCCTGGTCGGGCTCAGAGCAGGGCCGATTGGGGGGTTGGGGCACCACCCCCTGTCACACTCAAGGCAGGGTCGATGGGGAGGTTGCGGCTCGACCCCCTGTCACGCACAGAGCAGGGCCAATCCGGGGGTTGGGGCACTGCCTCCTGTCACACACAGAGCAGGGCCCATCAGGGGGGTTGGGGCTCCGTACCCTGTCATGCACAGAGCAGGGCCCATCAGGGGGTTGGGGAGCTCCCTCCTGTCACGAACAGAGCAGGGCCCATCAGGGGGTTGAGGAGCTCCCCCCTGTCACTCACAGAGTAGGGCCGATAGGGGAGTTGGGGCACCATCCCCTGTCACACACAGAGCAGGGCGGATCAGTGGGTTGGGGCGCCGCCCTCTATCACCCACAGAGCAGGGCTGATCAGGGGGTTGGGGCGCCGCCACTGTCACACTCAGGGCAGGGCCGATGGGGAGGTTATGGCTCTACCCCGTCACACACAGAGCAGGGCCGATCAGGGTGTTTGGGCGCTGCCCCCTGTCATGCTGATCCCGGTGCTGGGAGGCATATTACCCTTTTACTATATAGAATAGAGGCCTGGTGCATGGGTGGGGGCCAGCTGGTTTGCCCTGAAGGGTGTCCTGGATCAGGGTGGGGGTCCCTACTGGGGTGCCTGGCCAGCCTGGGTGAGGGGATGATGGCTGTTTGCAGCTGGTCACACACCCTTCAGGGTGGGGGTCCCCACTGGGGTGCCTGGCCAGTCTGGGTGAGGGGCTGAGGGCTGTTTTCAGGCTGGGGGTGACTGAACTCCCAAACGCTCCTTTTTTCCTTTTTTTTTTTTTTTATTTTTTATTCTGGGCCAGCTTTAGCTTGAGGCTTGGCTCCAGCTCTTAGGCCGTAGCTCCTGAAAGTAGGTTTCTGGCCTTTGCACACAATGTTGCGAATCTGCTGGCTGAAGTCCCGCGGTATTTGTTACAATGTTTCTTAAACTGCCGGCTCAGAGGCCTGCAGCGGCAGGCAGGGAACGATGGAGGCCTCCGTCACTGAGGCAAGCAAGCCTCATGTTAGTTTCAAGCTGCCTGGCTGCCGGCTGCCATCTTGGCTGACAGTTAATTTGCATATCTCGCTGATTAGCCAATGAAAAGGGTAGCAGTCGTACGCCAATTACCATGTTTCTCTTTTATTAGTGTAGATAAGTGTATTGAGTAGGAGGCTGGACTCCAATGATTCTAAGATCCATTTTTATACTTCCATTTTATAACTAACCAAGTTATACACTCTGCAGACTCTAAATAAAGCAAACGTACTTTTTGAGAAAGTTGTTTTGCCAACAAAGTAGGGCTAAACTAAGAGAAAATAGAATTTTTCAAATCTCACCAATCATCATCATGAATCTTCGATTGGCCAGCCTTTTCTTTGGACATGTCCTCACCTATAGTCAAGACAAAGATATGCATTTTAAGAAAACAAGAAGTCAGAATACATTTCTACATTGTGCATTAATCTTTCAGCAGCTTCTTTACCCTAATTTAAAGGCAAAACTTTACTCTGTGAAATGAGAAGTACTTAAATTTCCTTATTGCAGACTGCGTGGATGTAGAAAACTATAAGCAAGAAGTACCACACCCCTCTCCCACTTAGCACTGATGAGTCAGAAAACCCAAAGAACCTTACTTCCACCTCACACCTCAAGGAAGTCTACCTATCAGGCTTCAAACCCTCTGTCTCCCCCGACCCCTCGACCTTCCTACTGCTGCTCCCAGCCAGTCTTACACAGGCCAGGCCACCACACACCTCTATCCAACCACCACCCTCCCAATCCCCCTATCCCACCTCCTACTGGTCTTATACCAATCAGGCCGCCCTCCTTCCACACTTCCATCTTCCTACTCCTGCCTTCCCAACTAGTCTTGCAGCACTCAAGCCTCAACTTCTCCACTCACTTCACCCATGCACCCCATCTCACCACTCCTCCTCAGGTCTTTACACTGACAAGCCTAGAGCCCTCCCCCTACCCCTGCTACCTCCAGCCAATCAGGCCATAACTCCTTCACTCACCCTCCCTCTGCCTCTCCTCCCCAGGTCTTACACTGGTGGGTCTATACCCCTGCCTCTACTCCCACCTCCAGTCAATCAGGCCTCAACTCCTCCACTCACACCAGCACCTAAAACCCATCCCTTCCATGCCCCTGTGCTCCCCTCCCACCTCTTCTGCAGCCAATCAGGTCGTGACTCCTCCACTGACCCGCTTCTTCTCCTCAGGAGGTCTTATACTGGCTGGTCTCCACCCTCCCCCACACCCGCTCCCACTTCCAGCAGGGCTATTCCTCTCCACCCACACCAGCTTCTGGCCTCCAGCCAATCAGGCATCAACTCTTCCACTCAACCCTCTCTCCTCCTCAGGTCTTACACCAGCAGGTTTATACCCTTCCCCCCACTCCTGCTTCCTGCCTCCAGCCAATCAGGCCTCCACTCCAATCACCCCCTAGTCCCCCTGCCCCCTCTTCTCCTCAGGATGTCTTTCTCTGGCAGACCTACACCCCTCCCCCAACACCTGCTTCCCACCTCCAGCCAATCAGGCCTGGACTCCTCCACTCACACACATATCCCCATGTCCTGTGCCCCCAATCCCACCTCTTCTCCTCAGGAGATCTTACAGCCTCTTCTCAGGAGGTGTTATACCAGCAAGCATAAAGCCCTCCCTCCACTCCTGCTTCCCACCTCCAGCCAATCAGGTCTCAACTCCTCTACGCATCCTCCATCCCAACTCCCTCCTCTTCGCAGGAGGTATTACTCCAGCAGGCCTATATTCCTCCCCGCTCCTGCTTCCAACTCCAACCAATCAGGCCTGAACGCCTCCATTCACACACACACACACCCCATGTCCTGTGGGCCCCACTCCTACTTCTTTTCCTCAGGAGACCTTACAGCTTCTTCTCCTTAGGAGGCCTTATACCAGTAGGTCTAAACCCCTGCCCCTACTCCCACTTTCTGCCTGCAGCCAATCAGACCTCGACTCCTCCATTCACCCCCTCTTTTCCTCAGGATGTCTTACTCTAGCAGGCCTATACCCTTCCTCCCATTCCCACTTCCTGCCTCCAGCCAATCAGGTCACCACTCCTCCACTCACCCTCAATCCCCCCTGCCCCTGCTTCTCCTCAGGATGTCTTATTCCAGCAGGTCTACACCCCACCCCCCTACTCTGGCTTCCCGCCTCCAGGCCTACACCCCTCCCTCTATATCCGCTTCCGACCTCCAGCCAATGAGGCCTTGACTCACCCATTAACCTGCTTATTATCCCCCTACCCCCACTGCCGCCTCTTCTGAGGATGTCTTACTCCAGCAGGCCTACACCCTTCCCCCACTCCGGCTTCCCGCCTCCAGGTCTACACCCCTCCCCCTATATCCACTTCCAGCCTCCAGCCAATCAGGCCTCGATTCCTGTACTCACCCACCCCCCACTCCCTCCTCTCAGGATGTCTCATTCCGGCAGGTCTACACCCCTCCCCCACTCCCACGTCCTGCCTTCAACCAATCAGGCTTCCACTCCTTTACTCACCGCCCCCCTACTCTGGCTTCTCCTCAGGATGTCTCATTCCGGCAGGTCTACACCCCTCCCCCACTCCCACGTCCTGCCTTCAACCAATCAGGCTTCGACTCCTTTACTCACTGCCCCCCTACTCTGGCCTCTCCTCAGGATGTCTCATTCCGGCAGGTCTACACCCCTCCCCCACTCCCACGTCCTGCCTTCAACCAATCAGGCTTCGACTCCTTTACTCACCGCCCCCCTACTCTGGCTTCTCCTCAGGATGTCTCATTCCGGCAGGTCTATACCCCTCCCCCACTCCCACGTCCTGCCTTCAACCAATCAGGCTTCGACTCCTTTACTCACTGCCCCCCTACTCTGGCCTCTCCTCAGGATGTCTCATTCCGGCAGGTCTACACCCCTCCCCCACTCCCACGTCCTGCCTTCAACCAATCAGGCTTCGACTCCTTTACTCACCGCCCCCCTACTCTGGCTTCTCCTCAGGATGTCTTATTCCAGCAGGTCTACACCCCTTTCCCCATACCCGCTTCCCGCCTCCCGTCAATCAGGCCTTAATTCCTCTACTCACCCCTCCCCACCCGCCTCTTCTCCTCAGGATGTCTTATTCTGGCAGGTCTACATCCTTCCCACCACACCTGCTTCCCGCCTCCAACCTGGCCTCCAGCCACTCAGTCCTCGACTCCTCCACTAACCCCCGACACACCCCTCCTGCTCCCGCTGCCACCTCTTCTCCTCAGGATGTCTTACTCCAGCAGGCCTACACTCCTTTCCCCCATAGCCGCTTCCTGCCTCCAGCCTCCAGCCTCCAGCTAGTCTTGGAACATTCAGGCCTTGACTCCTGCACTTATCCTCCTCCTCACACGCACCTCTTAGCCCCAACCAAATGAGGCATGACCACCCCCCAAAATGCCTCCACTTCTATCCCCTATTCCCACCTTAACCAGCCAGCCAGTCTTCCACAGATTAGGCATCACCCCGCCCCCTACACCTTCCCCCTCACACCTCACTCCCCGTTGTTCTTCCACCATTCAGCCCTAAACCCTCCCCAAACTCATGCCACCTCCCTAACCTCAACTCCCTCATACTCCCACTGCAACCTCCATGCCCCACTCCCATCCCCCATCTTTGATTTAGCAGTTAATATCACTAACAAAAAAAAAATCCTTTTTGCTGAAAAGTCCTTTTTGAAAAGTGGAAACAGGCAAAATATTTTAGCAGAATCTCAGTCCCAAGGTTCATGGACAATAAGTATCTAGGGCGTACAGCGTCCTGAATTAAGTCTGCTCAACGAGGATGAGCTTTCAAAACTGCCCACTTCAGTACCCACCTCAGCCCCTTCCGTCACCTACCTGCTTCTGTTGCCTCTGGAGTGGCTGAATGCCGCTCAGCTCCCACCTCGGTTGGAAGACGAGATCCAGAGCAACTACGAGGTTCGCCGGCAGGTGCGCACCAGATTTTATAGAGTCCAGGCTCAGCAGAAAGTAAGCCCTGAAGTGTTCCCGCCCTCTCTGTACTGACCTATCACAGCCCTCCCTGTGTCCACCTATCACAGCTTGGTTGTGAGGCAGATTTAAACTTCGCGGGTAGGAACTGAAATTTGGCGCCCGGCCGTAGTGCTTCTAGAATCAAATCACTTCCACAGGGTATTGCTTATCTGTCCTGAGAGCACCATTTCCTGCGGAGTTCATAGTTTAGCAATCCCTAAATTAACTTTTTGGGTGACCGGAAAAAAACTGAGCTGAATCTTCCAAAGTTCCATCCTTGTGAGGACTTAGATAAGCGAGCTCTGTTCCCTGTTCGTTCCTTACTTTAACTGCCCAAACCTCTAAGGCTATTTGCCTGCCCTCCAAAGTACTCGGAGCTGGGGGGAGGGCACCTAGGCCCCTAGATAAGAGCAAAGCAGCAACCCGACAGTGCTTGGCAACACTGACGTTTGCTTCCAAAACCCTTCGAACCAGGGAGATAAAAAGGGGTTGGTTACTTGAAGCTTTTTGGCACTCCAAACACACGGAGAAAAACAGGGCAAAATATATGCTTTCTAGATTGTGCCCATTTCTCTATACATATCATAATTTAACCATTTGGCAAACAAATACAAATAACACGTCCCTGCATGTAAATATATTAATAACACTGTTTATTTAATGCGAGGCACTGTTCCAATTGTTTCATGTAAATCTAATCCTTACAACACTTTAAAAAGTAGGCAATGCTGGCACTCACTTAACAGCGGTCACATACATGGCTAGAAAGTGGCAGAGCTGGGATTAAGCTCCAGAAGCACTAATACCAAAACCAAAACTCTTAAACACCAAACTGTCTACATACAAGGATGGGCAAAAGTAGGTTTACAGTTGTTCATATGAAAATACAATAATTAATAAATAATACAATAAACTATTTTGAGTACTCACAACTGCAAACCTACTTTTGCTCATCTCTGTCTATAAAGGTACTTTGAGTAGATAGGGAATTGGATAAAAGACATTTATCATTATAGTTTTATCTCTATAACAAACTTGTAAGTTTACTGCTTTACAAGCCTCTCCTTTTAAAATGGGGGTGGGGTTATGGAACTGTGTGCGCCTCAGAGGTTTAAGCGAAGAATCTGAATGTTAGCTGTAGTTAATATTAAGAGCCGTATGCTTCAAGTTGACAAGTGGGTTAGAACTGGAATCAAATGTTAAGTTACACAAGTTTATTCAAGGTGCACAAGCACTTCCTTTAATAACTGATGCACATTTCTAAGAAATAGAAAAGGGAGGTAATGAGAACTTTTATGAGTAGGCTTCTTCCCTATCTTTTAGGAAACAAACTAATCCACATTAGGGCTTTGAGGGTCACAACCCACAAAAGTTATGAGGTAAATTACCTGAAATTTTATTGAAAAAGATTCTCATTTATATTTCTGAGAAAGCAGGCAGCTAAGCATCGTGTTCTGGTCCCTAATGCATTGCTATTTGTTTTGGTCCCTCCCTCGTACCACCCTTCAGAGCAGGAAGGAATAGTCCACATAAAGAATGAGACCACAAGTGTAGTGAAGCCACAGCAGTCCTAAGAAAAACAGGAACAAACATGAATGGGTGTGCTGGGAGATGCGGGCTTTGTCATCTTAAAGGATCATATGCCAACCCCACCCCTCCATCACATTCGGCTAGAAAACAAAATAATCCTTAATATCATAGCTGCCCAAGGGAGATCTGGTCTTTTGTTTGGAGCTGTTCAAATGTAGGTTTCATCATTGGATGACCAAATTATTCTGTCCAACACTCAATCTAACAGAACACAAACTACATCAGCCATATTAAGGACAAATCATTCATTTATTAATTATTTTAAAGATCACAAGACAACACCTGATTTCTGTAGCACAATTTAAATGTTTTACTTTTTTGATAAAGCAGAGCATAATAGAAAAAAACAATTTGTTTCCAGTGATCTCTATATCTCTATTCATAATTAAGTCTTCCATAGGCATATTACCTGGAAACCAAAGCCTGTTACAATAAGCAAAGCTTTAACCAGAGCGGCTACTTTCGTGCCAGGAAAAAGTTCATCCCTATAGGAGAAATGATGTGCTATGTAAAATGACTGTAAGGTCACAACCTTGAGGGCACTAGAAGTCTATCATCTTATTCCACATTAAGTAGTTTGGTGAATTTCAAACATCAGTTTATCTGCAACCATGCTGGCAACCTTTAATATTTCAATCATGTAAAAAATAAATTAAGAAATCCCTAAACTGATGTTCCTTGATTTACATTGTTAAAAGATACACAGTTCATTCACATGTAATTCTGACTAAAAATTATATTTGAGACTCCTGCTCAGATTTTGGTTAACAGACTTTCAGAAATTCAAGTTCTTATTAATCAATAATTTGTCAGCTAGGATACATTCAGGCATCAGCTGCAACTACAGAATAGGTACACTGCCTTAGTGCTTTGAAAAGACACTATAATCTAGAACACTACTAGCAGACAAAAAATTATCTGTTACTGTTACTGAATAGCATAAGTGCAGTATAGCAAGACAAAACATATATTCATATGTTGGTTTGTTTAAGCCTCAAGTCCTCAATCATTTGTTGAAATTCAATGATTTTATTCCTATGGTTTTTAATACCAAGAACTCAAGCTCCAGATGGCCTAAAGTCTAATTTGTAACTCCAAACCAAATAGCAGTACAGTTTGCTACTATGGCTGAATCCATAGAGACTTCAAGACCAAGTCCAGAAGACAGTTATTATATAATACCCTAGATGATTTGAAAAATAATTATTCATATACATAGCTGGTCCTTCAGAGCTTTTCACCCATAACATGTTTTTGATGAAATTTATTTAATATATTCTCAATAACTTTTACTTAGTGATCAAATATTTGAATACTTATACTTACCTGGGATTTCATTTCTGCTGACAGAAATAGGAAGAACAGGACTCACTTAAAAAAAAAAGCAAACCTTAGAAAAGGAAGGTAAAAATCTTATCACACACTATTACTTCGGGAAGCAGCATAGAGGGGCAGTCAAAGGTAAAACACTGATGAAATAGATGAAAACTAGGCCAAAAATCAATATTATCATCAATGATAGTATCACAACTGTGCCCTTCATAATTAATAATCATTCCTAAGAAGTTTCATTTGGCACTAGATGATGTGTTTTAGAGAAACACTCTGGGATGCTTTGAAACAGACTTGGTTTTGTTAGTTGATTTACAGGAGAAATTTTAAAGTAGGGGGAGGGGAAGGAAATGGACCAGAAAAAAAAATTCTGAATCATGATCTAAATCAAAAAAGCACTGATAGCTCCATTCATTAGGTCAGACACTCAAACGACTGATATAGGCTTAAGTGGTTTATAAAACCTATAAAAAGACTACACCAGCAAAGTTCCCATTAATCTGTAGAGTTGAGAAACTAAAATAAGGAGCGACATTTTAGTTTAAAATCTTATCTCAAGAGAATCATATACACTTCACATGAATAAAATCACCTGAAACCAAAGATTTTTAAAAGCTCCAATACCCAAAATATAAAGAAAAAATTAATTCAGAAGACTCAATCAAGCAATGGAATCACAAAACGGCTGGACAATCTAGATCTCTCCTCTACTAACCATCCCATGGAAGACCAAGGGAGAGCAGACCTTCCATCCAGATCTATGCACCACCTGATCGCTGCAAAATTCTATGGCGATTCCTTGTAGAACAGCAGTTTCCCATCTCTTATGTCTCTTCCTATCATGCACAAAGCAACCTTGGCTGTGCTATTCTATTATCATTATTTGTCACCCATCTGTAATATGACACTATACAGATAAGTAAAAAGTACATTATCTAGTTCCCTTTCCCCTGAAGGTTGAGGCTCAGGTAGAGGGGTATTCCTCCTGTGGAGAGTCTTTATTTAGGCTGACTCAGTGACTTCGACAGGCTTAATCATGTGATCAGGTTTGTTGCCAGCTGCATAATGCTCCCACATCTGTAGATAGAGCCGCTCTAGTTCCATTGTGTATTGTTTGGTGTTGAACAGAGGGCTAGATATTCTCTGCTTCCAGACTTTGCCACGAATTTTCTTCAGGCTAATTTAAAAAGAGAGAGAGAAAGGGAGCCAAGTTTACAAACAGAGCAGGAACTTAGAACTAGCCTCCCCCTAAATACCTAGTCATCTTTGATAAAACACAGGATGAAACTCCACCTTCCCTCAATGCTAAAAAAGGGAAAGTGTTAACATAATGCTAACACTTACAATCAAATTCACATCCTCTAAAAAAAAAAATTAGTTCTTAAACAAGTATATCCAAGATACCATGCTTTCTCCATTCCATCTTTTTCACCTTTAAAATGACACATGTCTATTCCTACATACCACTGGTTAGTAATGTATACATTAAGAACTTTAAATGTTCATTACCCTCTGGCAATCAGAAACACTTTAAAATCTATTCAAAAGAAATTAATCAGAGATGCAGGCACACCTGGTCATGCAAAGATGTTCACTGAAGCACCATTTACAATAAAGGCACATACATAATACTAAATATAAACCATAATTGAAAAAACCAACAGGCCCAGCTGGCTTGACTCAGTGGTTGAGTGTCAACCTAGGAACCAGGAGGTCTCAGTTCAATTCCCAGTCAAGGCGCATGCCCGGGTTGCAGGCTCAATTTCCAGTGTGGGGCGTGCAGGAGGCAGCCAGTCAATGATTCTCTATCATTGCTGTTTCTCTCTCTATATATATATATCCCTCTCCCTTCCTCTCTGAAATAAATACAAATATTTAAGAAAAAGAAAAAATAGGAAACATTGAACTCTAATTAATGATGTCCACATCTAAAGTATTTAGGGAGAAGAGTACTGATATCTGGCAATTTACTTCAAAATATATAAAATAAGATGGATTGCTAGATGCTAGAGAAATAAACAGATGGACAGACAGCAAGCATAATAAATTTAGTGGTGGAGTCTAGATGGCAAGTGTATAAGTATTCATTATAAAATTAATAGTTTTCATTATAAAACACTGTATGAAATCAACTAAGTTCCAAAGAGTAAAAAAAAAAGACACTACATTATTTGCTGTAGTTATCTCTGGGGTGATGGACATGAATATTAATTTTTTTTAATGCAGGGCTAAAATTTTTCACTCATTTTCCTTAGATGTACATGATATTCAATGGAGAAAATTATGAAAATACTTAATCTCTGTTGAATGCTTACTATATACCAAGAACTGTTGTGTTTTACACAGAACACCTTTTTAAAAATATATTTATTGATTTCAGAGAAGGGAAAGGGAGAGAGATAAAAACATCAATGATGAGAGAGAATCATTGATCAGCTGCCTCCTGCACGCCCTACAGTGGGGATCGAACTTGAAACCCGGGCATGTGCCCCAACCAGGAATCAAACCATGACCTCCTGGTTCATAGGTTGTCGCTCAACCACTGAGCCATGCTGGCCGGGCCAGAACACATTTTTTTAATTGTCACAACATCTCTTCAAAGTAAGTACTATCAGTCATCCCTGTTTTGCAGATGGAAAAATCAAGGCACATAGAAACTAATTTGCCTAAAGTCACAAGCTTGTAAAGTGGGAGAGCCTGGATTCAAATCCAGGCAATCTGACTCAAGAGGTTGCTTCTTTAAACTTCCATATAATGCTACTTTTTTGAAAAATGCAAAGAAAAAAAAATATCCCATAATGCACAAAGAAAAAGCACAGTTAACAGTTAAACACTTTTTCTTGTATGGATAAAGAATCATTTAAGCATCACTTCTCTAATTCCCACCTATTTGGGGCATTTAAGTTATGGTTTTTGTTTTTTTCTTATGCTGTAGTGAAGATGTGGCATTATTAGGGTCAAAGCTGTGTGTGTGTGTGTGTTTTTTTTTTAAGGATCTTATAACTTTGAGGAAGGGTTATACCAATTTACTCACCAATGTTATGAAAAGGCCAGCACCTCAATACTCCCTCATCTTGGGTATCATATAAAAAATCTTTTGTTTTGCCCCACCAGTATGGCTCAGTGGTTGAACATCGACCTATGAACCAGGCCGTGGTTCAATTCCTGGTCAGGGCACATGCCCAGCTTACAGGATTGATCCCCAGTGTGGGGTATGCAGGAGGCAGCTGATCAATGATTCTCCTCATCATTGATGTTTCTCTCTCTCTCTTCCTCTCCCTTCCTCTCTGAAATCAGTAAAAAATGTTTTAAAAAATCTTTTGTTTTAGCCCTAGCCAGTTTGCCTCAGTGGATAGATAGAGTGTCGGCCTGTAGACTGTAGGGTCCCAGGTTCCATTCTGTTCAAGGGCACATCCCTGGGTTACAGGCACAATCCCCAGTAAGCAGCACATGCAGGAAGCAGCCCATCAATGATCCTCTCTCATCACTGATGTTTCTCTCCTCTCTCTCCCTCTCCCTTTCTCTCCAAAATCAATAAAAATATATGTTTTAAAAAAAGAAAGTAGAGTAAGGTTTTAAAAAAAGGTCTCTTGTTTTATAGGCAAATAATGGTTATGCCTCAATGTTATTTTAATTTATATTTCTACTATGGAGGTTGAAACTTTGTCTTATTGACCATTTTATTTCTACTTCAGTGAGTTGTCTGGTCAATTCCTTGTTTATGTTCCTATTAAGAGACTTAAAATGTAAATGTGCTTCAATCTTTATATAGCCAGACTATTAATATTTGACATAAAAAACAAAGATTTTTCCTCTTATTTGTCTTTTAATTTTTTTTTACTTACTTTCATTCAGCCATTTACTCTTTGCATAGTAAAACCTATCGACCACTTCATTTATGAAAGTTTAGAAAGTTCTCCCATCCAGAGATAATACAACTAATACACCTATTTTATATTACCCTTATTTTATTATTTCATTTTATAGCACCTATATTCTCTCTAAACTTTCCTGATTCCTTTCACTTTATCATGATTTATTCATGGAAAAGTTTACTTACTATTCTAGATCAGTTCCCAGTTTCACAGCTATGTCTTCATATTCCTGTCTATTTTTAGCAATAAGCTCAAGACAACCTAAACAAGTAAGCTGGGAAGCCGCAACTCGAGAAGCAAGAGTCTCTCCTGTAATAAGAAAGATGACAATTACTCACAAGAATGCAACTAGCATGTGGTTATTAATGTTATTTATGTTAAGTACCCACACTACGCAGATGAGAATAGAGATAAGTGCTCAGAACAAATCTTGTTTTTTTTTAATCATCCTCCCGTAAATGTTGCTTCTACTATACATAATTTCACCTGGAATTATCTTCCATAAAAGGGATTCTAAAAAGAACAAGATTCCAATGATTTATCAGTAGTTTACCTGGCATAGTCACCATCGGTGTCCCAGCCCACAGGACATCCATTCCTGTGGTGTGCCCATTACAGAGTGGAGTGTCCAGGCAGACATCAGCCAGCTGGCCTCTCCTGACATGTTCTTCTTTAGGAGCAACAGGTGAAAAAATTATACGGTTCTGGGGAAGACCCATGTTTTGTGCATACTGTTGAATATTAGGTTCTCCTACTGCTGGAAAACGCAACAGCCACAGCACACTATTGGGAACACGCTTCAGAATCTAAAATAGGGAAAATGGTAATTATTAATAGCAGCTCTGCCCTTCTCCAGAAAGGTTCCTATAGAGTTCTAATAATTCAACCACATGTTCTAATAATTCTAATTATTAGAGTTCTAATAATTCTACCCTTTTCACCCAGATAGCAGCCTACTGTGAACTTATAAGTCTTTCCTTCACATAGATGAGTTAGATCAACTGAACTGTAGGTTTCTAGTCTGCTAAACTGTCCCCAAAGAGAGTTAAAAGAAACAAACTGATGTAAGAAGATACAAAACAAGATACTAACTGGCAAAGTCTTAGGCAGTGATTTTGTAGAGGAGATAGCAATTTTCCACATCAAATTTTAAATCTCCCACCATGACACAACGAACAGTTAGTTAACACTTGCCTAACTTTATTTACCTAATCTAGATCAGATGTCAGCAGACTTTTTGTAAAGGTCCAGAGAGCAAGTTTTTTGGACTTTGCAACCACATAGACTCTGTCCTAACTTTAGGCTCAGTTCTCCCTTGTCACTGGAAGGCAGCCACAGACAATATGTAAACAAGTAGATATGGCTGTGTGTCAATAAAATTTTATTTACAAAAGCAGGCAGTGGGCTGAATTTGACCCACAGGCCAATTTGCCAATGCCCGATTTAAATCTACATCTACTCAATGTACCTTACTAGTTCACCATCCCCTCTCTGAAAGCCATAGGAAGAGATGAGTTTCAGAATTCCGAGTATTTCAAATTTTTAAAAAGTGTACATGCATGTATATTACATTAGAGTCTCAGCAGCAACTTCCTGTAAATAAACACATTAGCATCTCTGCATCAAGATGTCAGAATATTCACACTAAATGGAATAAGAGACCATAAATAGTTCAGGTAAATGTGCAGCCAAATAAATTAACCACAAACATGACAACACTTAGTAGTTATCAGATTTTTTTCAATATAGGGAAGTAAAGATTAAGGGATAGTGAACCTGTACTCATCTGCTTCCTCTTCTCCTCCACCCTCCCCTCTCCAAAGGGGAAAAAAAACAGATATTAATCAGAAAAGAAAGCAACCAAGAATCATCTCCATTTTAGCTCCATGGAATAAGAACAAATTATGGAAGGCCCTGGTCGAGTAGCTCAGGTGGTTAGAACGTTGTCCAATATGCCAAGATTATGGGCTCCATCCCCAGTTAGAGCACATATAAGAATCAACTAATGAATGCATAAATAAGCAGAACAACAAATCAGTATCTCTATCTCTCTCTCCTCTCTCTCCCTCTCTCTCCTCTCTCTCCCTCTCTCTCCATCATTAATTTTTTAAAAAAATAAAATAAAATGCCCTAGCTGGTTTGACTCAGTGGATAAAACATCAGCTGCAGACTGAAGGGTCCTGGGTTCGATTCTGGTCAAGGGCACATAACTTGCTTGCAGGCTTGACCCTCAGCCCTGTCGGGGAGCATGCAGGAGGCAACCAACCGATGTGTCTCTCTCACATCAATGTTTTGCTCTGTCTCTCCCTCTCCCTTATAATATCCTTGGATGAGAATCAACAAAAAAATGGAAAAAAACAAAAACAAATATGGGTACCAAAGGTTGGAACCTTCAGAGATCCTCCTTATGCAAACTGGTCTTATGAGCTGACTAAAAGGTAATGGCATAAACTAAATCCTTCCTGGTTATATCTCTACAATATTGCAAGAATGTTAAACATGGGTGAATAAGCATGACGTTTGCTATTCGTTTAGACCAGGGGTGGGGGACTTTTTTTCTGCCAAAGGCCATTTGGATATTTATAACATCATCTGTGGGCCATACAAAATTATCAACTTAAAATTAGCTTGCTATATTTCATAAAACATTTAATTAACTCACCCCCTAATGCCTTGGCAGGGCTAGACCAAATGACTGCGCAAAAGTCTTATACGGCCTGCACGTCCCCCACCCCTGGTTTAGACCATGGGCTGACAAACTACAGTCTGTAAGCCAAATCTTACATGTTGCCTATTTTTTTGTCAATCAAATTTTATTGGAACATACCTACGTTCATCCATTTATATAACCATTTATGGTGTTTTCCTGATCTAACGGCAAAGATGAACAGAGGTGACAGAGAGTATGGACTGCAAAACTAAAAATTTTAACCATACAAACAGCATAAATTGTAACTTCTGCCAAGCAGCCTGAAACCCTGCACGACGGCAGCCATCCTTGGCCTGAACCAGAGCCCCTCCCAAGAGTCTCCAGTAACCAACATGCCCAGTGTCCTGCTTCAGAATGCCATCAAATTCCCACCCAACCAACTCAGCTAGAATAAGACTCCTGCAAAAGCGACTCCCACTCTCAAGGGTCAGTCCCCACACAACAGCTCAACCACAGTAGGCACTGCTAGCCCTCACAGTCAGCCAGCCTGAGTGAGGGTCAATTCCACCTATTGATATGCCAGCACCAACTGAAGCATAACTACAAGAGGGAACACACAACCCACACACAGGGGATACCCCTGGAGGACCAAGCTCAGGTGATTAGAGAGACTGTGCAACTGAGCCCTACAAGACACTTTCTATATAAGGCCACTCTGTCAATATCAGGAGACAGAAAAGATTGACCTCATACATAGAAACAAACACAGGGAAGGGGCCAAAATGAGTGTTAAAGATAAAGAGAGAACCTTAAAAGTAGCAAGAGAAAATCAGTTAATAACCTACAAGAGAGCTCCCATAAGACTTTCAACTGATTTTTCCACAGAAACTTTGCAGGCCAGAAGACACTGGCACAAAATATTCAAAGTGATGAAAAGAGAATGATCCAAGATGTAAGTGGATGTTACACTAACCTCCTCCCAGAACCAAACTGGAATTACAAATAAAATATAGAACAATCAACCTGAATAACCAACTGGAGACTAGCTGAAACTTATAACCAAGGATTTACAGAAGAAGTCACAGTGAGACTGGTAGGAAGGGCAGAGACACGAAAAGGGTTGGCCCTGCTTCCACAGGCAGCAGCTGAGATTCAGGTGGATATTTCAGCTGCAAAGGTTCCCCCTGCAGAGATGGGTTCTCTGGGAATATATCCGAAGAGACCCAAAACACTATTGCAAAAGAATATATGCAGCTCTATGTTCACTGCAGCATTATTTACAATAGCCAAGATTTGGAAGCAGCCTAAGTGTCCATCAGTAGATGAGTGGCTAAAAAAGCTGTGGTACATTTACAAAATGAAATACTACTCAGACATAAAAAAGGAAGGAAATCTTACCTTTCATAACAGCCTGGATGGACCTGGAGAGTATTATGTAAGTGAAATAAGCCAAAGAGAGACAAATACCATATGATTTCACTTATATGTGGAATCTAATGAATAAAATAAACTAACAAACAAAATAGAAACAGACTCATAATTACAGAGAATAGATTGACAGCTGTCAGAGGGAAGGGGACTGGGAAGATGGGTGAAATTAGGTGAAGGAATTAAGCAAACATCAGTGTGGTGATTACCAGAGGGAAAGAGGGGTGGGGGGATGTAGAAGAGGGTAAAGGGGGATTAAATGATGATGGAAGGAGACTTGACTTTGGGTGGTGAACACATAACACAACATACAGATGATTATAGAATTGTACACTTGAAACCTATATAATTTCATTAACCAATGTCACCCCAGTGTATTCAATAAATTTTTTTTAAAAAGAAAAAGTAAAATACATGACAAGAACTAAAAAAATAAATAAATAAAGGACCTACAATCAAGTCTATTCTACCCAGCAAGGCTATAATTTAGAATTGAAGGAGAGAGAAAACAGTTTCCCTACAAGAAAAAGCTAAAAGAGTTCATCACCACTAAACGAGTATTATAAAAAAAAGTTAGAGAGACTTCGAGTAGAAAATAAGAGATCAAATATAAATAAGAAAATATAGAAAAGAAAAAAATCTTACTGACAAAGGCAAACCCTTAGTAAAAGCAATGCATTAACCAAGTTAGTACCAAGGTTAAAAGACAAAAGAAGAAAGATCACGTGTAATTACAACAAATTAAGATACACATAAATACACACATACGAAAAAAAGTAAAAAAAATGACAAAAGCATAAAAAGTGGAAGAGGTAAATAAAAATTGCAGTGAATTTACAATGTGTTGGGAATTAAATTACCCAACCACCAACTTAAAATAGACTGCTATAAACACAGCTTGCTATAGATCAAGCACATGGTAACCACAAACCAAAAATCTCTAAGATAAAAAAAAATTAAGAGGAAGGAATCCAAACATAAACTATATAAAGTCATCAACATCGCCCTAGCCGATTTGGCTCAATGGATAGAGCGTCAGCCTGCAGACTGACGGGTCTCAGGTTCAATTCTAGTCAAGGGCACATGCCCAGGTTGTGGACTCGATCTCCAGTAGGAGGTGTGTAGGAGGCAGCTGATCAATGATTCTCTCTCATCACTGACGTTTCTATCTCCCTCTCCCTTCCTCTCTGAAATCAATAAAAATATTAAAAAATAATAATAATAAAGTCAACATCAAAGAGAGCAGGAGAATAAAGAACAGAGAAGAATTACAAGAACAATCCAAAAACAATATACCATTTACAACAGCATCGATGGACCTAGAGCAGGGGTGGGCAAACTTTTTGACTCGAGGGCCACAATGGGTTCTTAAACTGGACCGGAGGGCCGGAACAAAAGCATGGATGGAGTGTTTGTGTGAACTAATATAAATTCAAAGTAAACATCATTACATAAAAGGGTACGGTCTTTTTTTTTTTTTTTTTTTTTAGTTTTATTCATTTCAAACGGGCCAGATCCAGCCCGCGGGCCGTAGTTTACCCACGGCTGACCTAGAGCATATTATACTAAGTGAAATAAGTCTGTCAAAGAAAGATAAATACCATATAATTTCACTTATATGTAGAATCTAAAGAACAAAAGAACAGACCTAGACTCAGAGAACAGAGGGGACTAGGTGGAAAAAGGTGAAGGATTAAGAAGTACAAATTGGTAGTTACAGAACAGTCA